GATGAAGTATGTCGTGTTACATACTCCTACTTTGCAGCTGACCAATGACAGACCTGTGTAAACGCAATAACAATTTCACAGTCATCTCGCTGGGAAGATAATACAGATCACTATTCCTTGTGGGAAAGGCGGAGGCTTTATGTATTACCACAGGCACACCATACTGTGTGTTCGTGATTAACAATTGTTGACATGAGACGAACAAGATATCTAAGAGTTTAGAAGAAAGCTCTCAAAATGGCCGGCCAAAAGTAATTTCGTAAAAAGACGCTTCAAACGGCCCATGAAGGCGTAAAAATACCACAAATAAGTTTATTAACATTGTATTTAACTTTACTGGAATAATCAGACCGGGAAGTAATTTAGATATGTTATATCCATAACCCTCATAAATTTTATTCGTTTCATGTCAACAATTATTTACCAGGAACACATAGTGTTGTCTGCCTGTGGTATTTCGTGCTGGATAAAAGAGGGAGTGACCCTGGCATAAACTTTAAGCGTATTTATAAGGAACTTTGAGGGAACCCCGGCAACGACTGCAACGAGGACTTGGCAAAACTAAAGATCTTATGGGCAGAAAACAGCTCGGTAGGCGCGTTTTAAAGCCATCTAAAATTCTTAGCCTTCCTCTGCAAAACCACAACGTGAATTGTAACCAAAGTTTGCGTGGTCTGAGAGCGGAAAGCCCGACTTCTGCGGGGCGCAGGAATATACGGTAAAAACATTGAGTCATTTGCGAAATTCTAACTGAAAATAATTAATTAGTTTCAACGGAATGCCTAAGGTCTCTACTTTAGGTGGTGTTTCTGGGCAAAAGCACTTAACCCTTACAGTAAGTGCCTCTCTCTCCATACAAGAGAGGGTGAACAACCAGAACAACCCGGGGAATTTTCTAAGACGCTGCAAAGTTTCCAGAATGAGCAGAAATATGCTTAGTCATTTAAGAAAAGGGAAAAGATCCGGTGCCGGTAATGAGCTTCCACGCCTACAGTAAGACTACTGACCGCAAAGACGTTAGTTAAGTAGGGTGGGGGGGGGGGGGGTTCCTGAGCACGATGTTTTCGAAGGAAGGTACAAACAACAAGAATATTGATATCCAACAGTTCCCTGGATAAATTTAAAGTAGCAGTGGAAAACAGTCTTTGAAATTAAATCATTAATTGTGTACACATAAATTATTGCCGTGTCAATTAGGCGAGCGTTCCCGTTCTTTGCACGCATTCCTTCCCTACTTTGATGGCGCTGATTTTGCGCCTCTGTCACGCTATCTTCCTTACTTAAACGTGACAAAAGAAAGACAGCTGTACACTCCCAAGTTTTCCAATTTCTTTATCACAGCTGTGAAAAAATGGATACGTAAAACATTTTCACCAGCCGCTGTTGTTGTTGTTGTTATTGTTTTATTTTTAATTCTGTCGCGCGTTCTTCCTTACTTGCGCGTGACAGAAATAGGATAGCTGAACAATGCTAAGTTAATTCGAGATTAAGCAGGCTGTGAAATATATGCACCTACTTAATTTCCGCCTCATTCCTCACGAATTCGCGGTGCTGACAGGGATTGCTGTACTCTTGATATTTTCTAACTTTCTGGTGACTGAATTTTTTCAAAGTTTACTTCTACTCACGTGCTGGGTTGTTGTAATATGCTCCAATAAAATTCATCAATTACATTTATCAAATTGCTCACCCTTCGGTGTGAACAAAGAATCGATATCACACTTTCTCTTTTAGAGCAGTTAACGATGGTCACTTGTATGGTTTCTTACAGGAATATAAATCATATCTGTCGCTTCGCACAAGTAAAAGGAAAAAGAAAATCAAAACATGATAAACAGCGCTAGCTAGACCATAATGACAGTGTCATGTGACTGACGCGCTTCTGCTAAATTTTTCCGTGTTCATTTCAAGAGCGACCAATCCATTTCGTTTCCTCCAGCTACCTAATTTGACCTTTAATGGACTGCCTTCCCAGTTTATCACTCAATCAAAAGTAATCCTCGTTTCAAATGAACAAATGGAGGTCCTTCAATGGTTACCTCGCGATTCTTTCGCTTTTGTAAACACGATTTCAGCGAAGTGTCATATAGTTAATTAGTTTGAATATCTACTTACGTGAGTTGAATATTCGAGCAGAGAATGTCAACTAGTCGAACTAAATTCGAACGGAACTGTAAGCTCGCTACGAGGGATATATATTGTCTTGATGGAGATTAAATTCAATAGCTTATTCAGCGCCCCTTTGTTCGTTCTGTTCAGTCAAGTGGTGTATTGAATACAATTTGAAAAATAAACTTCTCGGCCTATCCTCTGGAGCTTTTTCTTTCCCTTGGTAACAAATCGTAACCAAAAACTACCCCTTCCATTTCATAGTTTATCTTTCAGTAATTCAAACTAAAGGGAAGACAGCTTACTGCATTCCGACCAAGGAAATGGGTTAACTAAAAACCACTGAAGCATTTTGGATTGCTAATCATGAACCACTAGTTTGTGGAGGCTTACTCAATCATTCACGATACCGCTGTGAAATCATTTTAAATTTGACAGATTTGGAGCCTCACCTGTACTCAATAAAAGAAAAAGAAACGCAGCTGACTCCGACATGTTCTTTCAAAATTATTCGTCTGAAAAGATGAGTTCGCAAAACCTTCACGGTATCTTCAGAGTTTTAACAGATGGACGCCACTTCTGTAACAATTTAGCGTGACATTACGCGTGACCGACAAAAAAAATACGTCGACAGTATCCGATTACGTGGGAATTGCGAATACAGCAGAATGAGATGAAAAGGATGCGAGGGTTCCGGTCTTTCACAATAATCTACGTTCAAGCGAAGAAAGCGGTTTTTTTTCTTGTTTTAAAATCAATATTATCACCATTATTATTATCATTCTCGTTCTTGTTATGAGGGGGTTATCGTTCTCATTTTTAACCAGTGCTCTGGGTGGCAAGATGTTGCCCTACGAGCCCAGATGACTCTTGCAAAGACTAGAGGCATTTAATTTTTTTTCTTCTACCAAGTTCATTCGAAATCTTGAAGGAGATAATACGATTAAAGGCGAGCGAGAGGGGATGAGACAGGGTCAGAGGAAATATGCAATTTCGACTTTCTTAAACTGACTTAGCTCTACCTAACAACGAACGAACGACGAAAAATCAACACGGCAGAAAAAACTTTGCCATTAAAGATAGATTAAGTAAATTCATTTTGACTCAAGCAAGTACTGACAGAGCGTCTATGAGTAAACTAGTTTCAAATCAACTGGAACATTACTTTCTCAAACGCATTTAGGCACGTATCCACGTGAAAGGGAAAACTATTTTTACCTATTACAAAATCCCACCTTTCTATTTTAATTTCTGATCAAAAAGAATGCAAGGTTCATTGCATGACATCTCAAATAACAGAGGACACGCAAACATCTGCCGCACCTAGAAATCGCGACGTAAGGGGTAATTCAATTAGGTTTTACAGTGATTCTATGCTCAGATTCCTGGTTTCATTTGTAAGTTCATCATTGAAGTCAAATTTTTTTTTTATTAGTACGTACCTTTCACCTATGACCGCGTGCACTGGGCAAACAACAAAAAGCTCTCACCAAACAGCGAAGGTTCTTTTGAAAGCGCTAGCGAAAAGTAATTCATCCAAACTTGTTGTGACCTTCTTTAAGATTGTTGTAAGGCGTTCACTAGGCAAAAAATTGGCTCATTTGCTTTACTTTGTCTGCGAACATATCTTTCAATAATTTATCAATTGCGTGGACAAAAAAACACAATTGCTTTGAAAAATGATGGATTGACACCTAATAAAGGTTTTTCTTGGCCAAAATCTGAGGTGCTGTGAATCGACGAGGAGATAAGAAAGAGGAAAGTTTGATCATTCAAATTCATTAGAATTGTAGGTTGCTTACAGGTATAAGAGCAGTTTCGGATCTTGACTAGGGGTAAGTCTAGACACGTGCTTGACGCACACATCACGCGAGAAACTCCGTAAACAGACGAACAGACATAAAAACATTACATATTGAAAAGAAAAAGAAGCTTTTCTGTCTCTTCCTTTCTCTCCACGTATACTCTCAATGTCTGTTTGTCTGCAAGCATTATTTATTTATTTATTTATTTTATTCAACTGTTTGACTCTAGCTTTTCACGGCAACATATCCTTCCTCTTGAAGACGAGTTCCGTGTACCACATATTCTCTCCATGGATATGGGTGGATCTCAGCGCCTAGGGAAGGCTGTTTATAAAGTGAATTAAATCTTAACAATCTTATTCCCACTCGTTTGCGTAGTATAGATTAATTAAGCCACCTTTCGGACAGTAAACGCTTTCTTACACTGTACTGAAAGAAAATATAAAGGCTAAAAATATCAACATTGTTTTTTTTTTTTTTTTTTTTTTTTTTTTTTTTTTTTTAGTTTAGGCTGCATTCGCCTAAATGTAGCCTCTCCACGTGACTGTTGTTTTCAATGCCAATCAGCAGAAATCACAATTATATAATTTTATGATGATGGAGATTATGTTGGTTTCACACACATTCCTTTTTTTCTCCTGTCTCCAGGCAGAATTCCATGTGGTCGATTTCAGTTAAAAAAAGAGAAGCCAAGCAGAATATTTGTTAATTTCCACTCATTTTCTTCCCTCCCAGACCTCACGTATTCGCGTTCATGTTTTCTTTCAAACAATTATAAAGTTCGATCCAAGAACCTGCATGATTTGCAACCTCCTCGCAGAATACAGCGTGCGTCTTTGAATCTTTAATTATGCTTCAGTCTCACTTCAGTGACAAAGGGTATAGTATAGAACAATGCTTTTTCCTCTCTGTCTATTCATATCATTCCCTACATAGCACCACTATGCGTTATTCAGCTTATTTGCTTATTTGTTAGATCGTGTCCTGCTAAGCAGGGCACAGGAAAACAAGTGTATAATTCTGGGCGTCACAAACAACCATTGACAAAATGTCGGGGTAGAAATTTCCTTAGTTACGGAATATTTTGGCGAATAACAAGCGTTGGCTGTTCTTAACCAACCCACCAACCTTTGAAAACGCGCTATCGATTTCAATTCAGCTCCCGACGGGAATCCTTGAGAAAACATATATTAAGGCGATGCCCCTTAATTCATAAGAAGAGCTGATCACGTCCTTTAAGGCAGTTGAAGAAGGAAGCAGAAGGTTGAGCACTTTAAACGACATGGCACTTTCAAGCTCAAGAAAAATGAACGCGTTTGTAATTTTTGCGTTCTTAACAGTTGCATTTCTCACGGATCACTCACATGGAATCATGGGATGGTTTGGAAACGGAGGAAAGCGACCAGAGGGCCGAAGGTCTTTTATAACGGTACGATATTAAATATAGAGAAGTTAGACGCCCATTGTGCGCTTCGGTTTTCCTCAGACACTCCATTTATTTACTCCATTAAACCTGTAAGAATTCATCAAAGAAGTGAAAAAATGGTCCAGCGAACAAGGATTCAAAACGTGCGTTGTCAGTTATATTGACTGTTCTGCGAAAGTCTCCAAGAAATATTCGTTTTTTTTTAGATACTGACAACATCATTTAATATGGAGGAGTGCACATAAGTCTTCTCAGTCCCTCCTCTTATCTTCACATCTTGATCGTCTTAAGAGTCAGCACATCCATAAGTCCCAGCACCTCCCAAATTTCCCGCTCGACCAGCTTGCCTTAAACCCATCCCTCTCGTTTGCAGGTCTGTTGTACAGGCTGAATAAGTACTAAGGTCAGATCAGTTTTTCCCCGAAGTTAAGTTTATTTTCAACACTTGATCGTAATTCAACATTAATATACTGCTGATAAAGACTTAAGGTTTTCACTTCTCCCTCTCAAATTGAAGGACGCAGATAATCAGCTACCTAGTAGCTTATGTTCTTCTTAATTTGAACAAGATTGAGGTATAATTCCGTTTTATTTTTTCTTCTTTTTACCAACGTTATCATCATCATTATAAGTACGATTATTATCATTATTAATTCAATTTGTTATCAATCTTCAAATTTTCAATCTTTATGCCTCTCCATTATAACGTGGGCTAAGACTGCGGGATATCATCTTACTTCATCCATTTCGCTGCCCTTCAGCATTGTCCTCGTAACTAGGGAAGAATTCGCTAAAACTACACATAGTTATCGAGCAACCAGTGAAAAAACAGCAATTTGCTTGATACTCAGCTCCGATCTGTAGGAGTGCTAAGTCGCATTCATCCAAAATGATCTGAGGCGAAAAAGGGCGTGTTGTCTTGTTTTCATTTTGTCGCGACTTTCTAAATGACAATACTAATAACAAATAATATTAATATGACTTCGAATACGATTTCTGAGCAGGTGCGCGACTTAAAATGAAAACTCTGTAGTCGAGATACTGAAAACAATTGACACACTACGCCGGACAAAAATGAAATGTACACCGGCGTAAGCGTAGAATGCGGTGATTATTTGAAAGTCAGCTCATCTTGCCTTTGATCTGCGATTAAGTTCGGG